GGAAAGCTGCTGACATCCTTCCTTAGATGTTATTTATCTACCACTGATAGAAAAAAATCTTCTTGATTATTTTTTTTCTAGCAATGATGCTTACATGATTTGTGTTGTTTCCTTTGTCTTTTTAGTTTGTGATTTAAGACCTAGTGCTTTGCCTGGATCACTTGATGTAAGTCGTTCAATGTTTGATCTCCGAAGCCCACCTCATCGATTCATGAAGGTAACTTAGGTTGTACTGAAAACTCACCTTATTTAGCATATCTGTTCCTGTTGCATTTTATTTTCAAAGTAAACACTGAAGGGCATTGTTCTGTGAGCTGAAAGGACTCGAGGGAAGAAGTTCAACATCTTGACCAACTTCAAGAGGTTCTTTCCTGGTGTCTGCCCTGACTACTGCTGTTCTGGCCCGGTGGGGCTGTTGAGAAACTCAAGTAGGCTTTTAGGCAGGACAAGACAAGAGGTTGTGGTTCATCCTCGTGATTTCCTCCAGCAGCTGGAAAGCGGAACACTAAAAAATTCCATTGATGCAAAAAACACAGTTTTTTTCTTTTTTTTGTTTTCCAAATAATCTTCATTTATATAGAAATTAAGTTGCATATATATATATATATATATAAGTGAGCAAAAAAATAATCTGTGCTGCCTTACATGTCCTTTATCAGCTCTTTGCATCAAAGTAGTAATTCCGTGTGCTGGATCAAGAGATTACTAGAGAATTATACAATTATTTGAAAATGGGTGTTGTTTTCATTATGTCTTGTCTGATGGTAGAATCTCTCTATCTTTTTGCATATGTTGCTTTGAATGAAGTAACTCGGTTGTTTTTGCCCCCAGAGATATGATTCATTCTCCAGTGTACCTAGCAGTACCTCTTCCAGGAAGGATTCACAAGGCAGTAACAGGAGTCTGGGTAATGTTTTGTTTGTTTACCTTGTAATGAAATATTTCCCTTTGCACTTGAAACAGTAAGCTGTCTCTACTGTTGATGATTAATTTTTTTAGATGAATCTGATTAGCAAGTCAGTTTGGAGATGACTTTGCAATTTGAAATTAAGAATTTTGGGCTTGAACTGTCTTGTTGTCAGGAGGTTGAGCAATTGAGCCTTTGAGGAGTTCTCATGCTTTTGAAAAATTTATCCCTGGATTTACTACCCGAGTGAACTACAAAATTGCAGATACTCTGTAAGGATAAAATGCAAGACCTTGGTTACAGCTCTAGTCTTTTTCATCAGTATTTTTCTGTGAGAAGTGCCTGGAATCCAAACCCATGTTACACTGAGAATTAGGCAAAATATTGCATGCAAACCTAGTATCCTTACTTATGAAAGAATGCAGAAGAAGTGGAGATGCTGTAAATAAACCCTCAAAAATGAATCAAGTCCCCATGAGAGTCACCTTGCTGAAGTCAGAATTTCACCTAGTTTCTCAAAAAGACAACTGGAGTGCAATGATTTGATTCCAATTGTGACAAAGAAATGCTGGATGTTAAATGGCTCTTCTGACTCGGAGAAAAGTATAAAAGTAAAATGTTTACTAGGCTGGGAGTGAAATCTGAGAAAGATAAAAAGCAGGCCAACTTATAAACTTAACAGTGAAAATGATAAATCTAAGGGAAGTGATAGATGATAAATGTGTTCTGGGTGTCTCGGGCATACTGTATCTTATAAAAGTTGTTCAAGTATGACACAAGTTATTCAGCAGAGATAACTAAGGTAAATATGCAGACTTTTATAGTGTTAGCTATGCAGAAGGTCAGGCTACAGGACTTCATGAACATTTTGTCCTTAATATGTAAGTGTTAAGGTATTTCTAACTTATTTTGAAAGAAGTTTTCAAACATAGGCAGTCCACCTACTAACAAGTTCCCTTATTTTCGGAATGAATTTTCAAGATACTGCGTTACTTCTAAAAACACTAATTGGCTTTCTTCCATAGATACTATTACATTATCAGGTGATGAACGAGACTTTGGAAGACTGAATGTGAAGTTGTGTTATGTTTCTTCTGTAGAACAGATTTGGATCACTGTTTTACATGTAAGCAAATACAAATAACTTCATTATTATTTACTCAGGTGACTATTTTACTATATTTAGTGTTAATTCTCATTAAATTTGGTGCTCTGTTATTTTAAGGAGAAAAAGAACATTACTGATAGTTATTAATGTAAACAAAGCTCAATCAAATGTAATGCTGGGCTTCATTCAAAATATCTTCCTCTTTTTTTTTCCTCTGTTGCAGTCTCTGTTCTGTTGCAGTCAATAGCAAAAACTAGTATATAACACTTTCTGTTACTATACATAGATTTTGATTATGGAGTGAGGAACTGTTGAGCATAGATAAAAAAAGCTGAGCTCATCCTCGGCTGGTGCTGCTGTGGAAGTTTTCCTGTGGAAATTTGGATGCAGCATTTAACTGACTTGAAATTTAACAGTTCCTTCAGAGCAGAACCATAGTAGCACTTTGAGGGCATGTACTTTCTTGGGGCTTTTTTGTTAGCTAATGTGATACTGTTATGCTGGCTGTTCTATACACTTCCAGGAACTATGAATAATTTTCAGGCAATGGAACTTGGAGTCGTCATAAACCTCATAACTACATCAAGTGCTAAATACTACATAAGGGATTTCATGATTTATCTGTTGTCAAATTGCCACATAATGAAACCATTAAAATCAACTGAATAACTTTTTACCTTCTGGTTGTGAAAATTAATTATTAAACCTTCTGAAGTGACACAGTCATTACACCAGTTCTGATTTATATTCAACATTACAGGAATTATGCATAATTCAAGAATACTGTAGAAGACTCTTTCTAAATTATATGAAGGACAGAGTCTTATATTGCCTAAACTGACTCTGTTTTCAACGTTGCAGTGCAAAGATCTGAGCTGGCCTTCTAGCTGTGGGGAAAATCCTCGTATCTATGTCAAGGGAATTCTCACGCTGCCCAAACCAGTGCATTTCAAATCTTCTGCCAAGGAAGGATGCAATGTAAGTAGAGGCAGGGAAAACACCAAGAAATATTTTTTTCCAAAAGAAATAAAAGTGAAATGTAAATGGATTTTTAAAATGCACCAACCATTTACTCCTATGCCATATTTCCTGTAGTAGTTACTTAGGTTCAGGTTACTTCCTGTCCGCAACTTCTAAAAATCCTATGAATAGCCTTCTTCCTCTTCCCCTCTCTTGCACTGTACAGTCGCCCTCCTCCTCTCTCAAGTCTGCAGGACAGATATGTTCACAGTGGACTGAACCATGAGCTGCTGGCCTTGGCAACTAACTGGTGGGGTACTGGAGGAAGACAGGCCCTACCTGTAGTGCACATTCACCCCAGGGAAGGTAGATGATGTACTGCCTCGCGCTAGGGCAGGAAACAACGTTCCTGCATCCTCCCTACAGAAAGTAGTAAGAATTGGTTGCATGGGACAAAACTCCCAATAGCGGCAATAAAGGAAAATTACACTGTGCCCTGGTGAGACCACACCTGGAATACGGTGTCCAGTTTTGGGCTTGCCAATTCAAGAGAGACAGGGACCTACTGGACAGAGTCCAACAGAGAGCTATGAGGATGATTAAGGGACTTGAACTTCTCTCCTCGGAAGAGAACGGAGGCTGTTCAGCCTTGAAAGGAGACGGCTGAGAGGATATCTTATTAATGTATGTAGATACCTGAGAGGTGGGTGTCAAGAGGAAGGGGACAATCTCTTTGCAGTGATGCCCAGCAATAGAATAAGGAATAATGGGTTTAAGTCAGAACATAGGAAGTTCCACCTCAACATGAGGAAAAACTTCACTGTGAGGATGCCAGAGCCCTGGCACAGGCTGCCCAGGGAGGTTGTGGAGTCTCCTTCTCTGGAGACTTTCAAAACCCGCCTGGACCACGTTCCTGTGTGGCTGCCCTGGGGGATCCTACTCTGGTGGGGGAGTTGGACTAGATGGTCTCTAGAGGTCCCTACCAACCCCCAATATTCTGTAATTCTATGAGGTGGAAAGTAAAGCAAAATAAACCATAATGTGAGTCAAAGGTGAAGGAAAAAATAAAATTAGCAGGAGAGACTCAAGCAAAACGCCATGGGAGAATTTTCTGGGACAATGTGTGTATGCTGTTGTAAAGCTCCAGAAGATATGGCCTTAGCTTGTTCTGGTGGTGAAAAATAAGCCAGAGCTTTGTCCCTGCCAGAGCACGACAATGAGGTGATGAGTCTGTGGGGACTTACCACTGTGGAAGCACACTTTTCCGTGACAACCTAAAACAGTAGCCAGAACAAGTGGCTGTAGCACCAGGAAGCCTTGGTTTCAAGTTTTCAGGCTCAGTTCGACTCTCTTACAATGGTGATGTTACCCCTCTGTTTTCCTTTCTAGGACATTGAATTTATGGAAACTTTTGTATTTGCCATTAAATTGCAAAGCCTGCAGGCTGTCAGACTGGTATTTAAAATCCAGACGCAGACTCCCAGGAAAAAAACAATTGGAGAGTGCTCCATGGCACTGCGGGAGCTCAGCCTGGAAGAGTCAAATCATTGGCTGGATATATCTCCTCCTTCCAAAGCCCCTGTAAGTGCCAATACTGCAAAACTGTGTTGTTATATCACCTACAAAGAGCTGCTGGAAATGAAAGTAAAATGATTCAGTACTAATTCCATGTTAACAATGAACAGGGATTGGTGGGGGGGGGGGGTGTGTTAATTCTTTTTCTTCCTTTTTTTCCCACTTTCTTGGGGAAAGGCATTTTGATGTGGAAAAAACTGCAACTTTTGAAATCAACACATGTATGTTCTTGTCATAAACTGCAGCTGTTTCTGGGAAAAGATCTAGAGCAAGTTCTTCCAGACCATAGTCCACAGCTTAAGGGAGGGGTCTTCTGGGGAAATGTTCAGCAAAGGACTCCAAGTAATTGCCTTTCCTGACCAAAAGAGCATCAGGAGAGCCTTAGGACTCGCAGCAAGAGCTCAGAGCTAGTGCAGTCTGCTTTTTTGGGGGGAAGAAAAGTGCTAAGATCTTCAGTGGCTTGAAACTGCAGAGATAGCTATATATTTAATGGTTCAGATTGCATGCTGTGAAGTAATAATTCAGACAGTTCATTTCCATTACTGTAATAAGAAGCAGGTGGTTTTCACAGTGGGATTTCCTTTCCTCATACCCTCACTTTGTTTGTTGCTTTTACAGATTGTGTCTAGACATTTGTATTTTCAAGAAATTAAACTTGAATTAGCAATTCAAAAGCAAATTTTATCTAGGTGTGTCTGAGTAATATCAGTGAAACTCTTGACTTCTAACATAAGTTACACTTGATATTTTTTAGTTCTAACAAGAATAACCCATGTTGCTTCAAAAGCAATAAGATTAAGTGAAAGAGGAAGCTGTTTTATAAACCATTTCATCCCAGTGCAAATTCCTGAATCATCTCATAGTTTCTCTCCCTCTGTTGACTTTCCTCACCATTATGTCCCAGAGCCTCCAGACAATGCTGGAATTCATCCATCATACTGCCCTGTGAGGCAGCAGACTACCCTGCTCGCCAGTAGAGAGCCAAAGCCCAGAGTAGAGTAAGTGGCTTCCTTTCAGGGTTAGACAGAAATTTGTGACCAAGCTGCAAAGAGAATTTGGGTGTCTGATGAACTGGAGCTTGACTTCTCTTTATCTAACCTGTTGCTCTCTCACTTATGCGTTTTTCTTCGCTGAAATGCATTACAACTTGAAGGGAACTGGGACCAGTCCTTTCAAATGGAGGCTGTCAGGAAAGCTGCGTCTCCACCAGTCTTCTGCCATTCTTCTGACGTTCAGAGTATGTTAGCATCTGACAGGAGAGTAATGAGGATGCCCCAACATGACTTTGCCACTAGCAATAATTGGTTAAAAAAAACCAAAAAACCAGACTGAAGATCTTGGTACGTTCAGAGTGTGGGTGTGGGTATGTACGTTTGTAGGCACATCAAGCACAAGTATTCCCGTAACTCCAGAGCGTGCAGTCGCCCTAAATATTCATGATGTTAAGTGACAGTGTCTCGTATCTATGGAAGGCATTGCTTATATCTCCGTATTGCAGAACTGCAAAGTGTAGGAGGAGAGCTCCAAAGGTTTTTGTGTTAGTGGAGCATACCTGGTCTCTCACTTCCACACACAGGTTTAGCATGTCCAGTTTTCCTGTATGTGTCGGCACTTACCGTTGAGGGATCTTCCCCAGGTGAAAAATGAGGACTTGTTTATTTGTCTGGTATCTCTGGCTGCAGCCCACGAGGGCCATATGTGCACTGCAGTCCATCAGTGGAGCACATGTAGCACAGCTATGACAAGTGCAGGTTGTGTATACAACACATGCTTCTATTTCTGTCCAGGAAATCCCAGCTAGAAATGTGGGAGGCCAACATATGACAGAATTCCTGTGTTTCCTGAATTTATAAGCAACTTAATCCAGATGTTATGGCAACATTCTTCTGCTTGTAGGTGTGCCGTGCAGAACTTCAAATAGGAACTTGTTTCCAAGCAATAAACAGGAGGATTCAGTTACAGATTCTTGAAGCACAAAACCTTCCAGTTTCATCTGCACCCCTGTCTTCAAGTAAGTTACATCAGCTGTCTCATGCCTCCTGTCTAAAAGCATTTGTAACAGGTAAATTGGTGCTCAGATGGGTTGGCAATTCGTAGCATTCCTTACAAACCTCAGACTAACATATTATGCAGTAGATTTTCATTGCCAAGGCTTGTTTCCACAGATGTCTTACTTGATTACTTTTTGTTTAGTTTGAAGCTACATGTTTATGTATTTTGGAAGATTTTTATCGCAGTATTAATGCTGACATACAAAAGCATTAGCTTGCACTTGCCTTTTGGATACTGTGTTAATCAATTCAGTATTATTGAACAAACTCCGTTTGTGTGACTAGTCAGGAAAGCTATTGTGCAGTTCTTTTGGCCAGACTTTTGGGAAATTGTTGCAGTTTGAACCATACCTGTGGATCTTCTTTAGTTCCTTTTTGCGTGTCTGTGAGTAAGCCTTTGTGTGCTGTGCCTTTTCCCCTCCCTTTTCTGCTAGATTTCTTCGTGAAAGTTGGAATGTTTAGTACAGAAGGGATGATCTATAAGAAGAAGACTCGTCTTCTGAAGCCCACTAACGGCCAAGTGAAGTGGGGAGAAATGATGATTTTTCCAGTTAGCCAAGCTGAACAAGGAATTGGCTTCCTCATCAAGCTCTACAGCAGAAGCTCAGTGAGAAGAAAACACTTCCTAGGACAGGTTGGTTACTGCTGACTAGCAAGATATCCTTAATTTAAAATTCAGTTCCAAAGGTTTCCTTGTATGAGTTTTAAAATACTTTAAATAAGGTGACATACAGCAAAATAGTAAATTCTAGTAAACTCTTCTGCATGTAACCCCCAAAAAATAGCACTGGGCTCTTAAATGTGCACAAATGTCAGAATGGGAGTTGACATTTGACTTGTTTCTTTTTAAAAGAAATCCTTAAGTGGTTTTTGTATGGAGTATTACTATATGAAAAATTTCTTCCTACAGACAGATGTACTGTCTGTCATCCTCGTTGCCTCCAGGCTTTCTGGAGAAAACAAACAGCACTCACAGGACCTCCACAACCTGCAAGGTCCCACACAGGAAGGAGATGTGTTGGCTTACTGCACCAATACACTTGCAAGTAGGTGTGTGTAACAGGAAGCATCAAGAGCTGCCACATGAGACTCCCTTCCTGGGTAAAACAATGCTGAAATTAGCACAGTATTCTAAATGTGTATGATCAGGTGATAACATAGGTGACCAATCACAAAATTTCTAGTCGAGTGCCCCTTTTCTCTATCCCAAACAGCTGGAACTTGAGTAATACCTCTTTGAAAGCATTTATCTGATCATAATTATTGAAGCATCATAAAACTTGGTAGCCTGGTCTCTTTTTATTCTATCTGCCCTCTTCCCCTGGTTGTTCGAATTTACCATCATCCTGCCCCTTCTTTCTCTCCTTTTCTTTTTGGTACACTGAGCTGTAGCTGTTCTTAATGCTCTGTGCTTTCCTTGACCCTGCTAGATTTAGTAGCAGAATTTTAATACATGCATAAATGAATAATGTAAAACTGATTTTGAGACCCCAACTGTAACGTCCCTTGTCACATGAAGGACTGTGCTATCCTTAGCTACAGAAAATGATACTGTCCTGTTCTGGTGATGTTTCTTGTGCCTGCTGAGGACGTGCAGTGATAGGACATACTGATGTGCTTTATACCAATGATGCGCCAGCAAGTTATGTGAAGTTTCTCCATTTTATGGAGCCTCATGTCACACACGTTCCATATTTCTGTGATTCCTATTGGTGGAACTGGATTTGGAACAGGAAAATTAAAAAAAAAATTATCTTTTTAGTTTTGCCACCTTGAGGTGGAAGTAACTGGGTATGATTTTGCAGTCACTTAGCAATATGTGAGGTAATCTCAATCTGAGGAGTTACATTTAATCATGGATCTTATTTTTAGGGGGAGGAAATGAGCTACTTCTGCTCCTCGGAGGTTATTTGGAAAAGGTTGTTTCAGCTCATGCAGGCAGACATTGCCACATAACACACGAAGACATAAAATATGGCTCAGGGAAAAATGTACTTTGAGCAATTGGCTGCGTAGCTGGAAAAAGATGAATATAGCTGGATCTATTAACTTTGTTCTTCAGAGATGATGTTTAATTGGATGCTGTTCTAAGCAGACAATGCTTAGATTAGACTGCTTTTACAGGCATGTCTTTAATCATGAGCAAGATGTATATTGAATCTCTGTGGATGAAACATCAGCTGTCTGGGGTATTCTGGAAGGCATTATTCTCACTTCTTGAGGACTTGTGCCTCAACAGTGTAGGCTAAATGTACTTCATGGTGAAGGTTTCTGAGAAGTCTTAAAAGGACTCATTCTTGGAAGACTTGAGGAAATAAGAGTCCTGTAAATAATGATACATACTTACATAAGCAGAATTCTTTAGGCAGTGGAGCCTGGTGATAATATTCAGGGGGAAAATTTCCTTCTTGTACCTCATTTGCTTGTTTAATGGCCACTACTCATTAATTGAATACTGAGAAGAAATGGACTCATACTGCGTGACTATGTGTGGTATGGGCATGTTAGTAACCTCTGTGGAATGCAGGTTTGGCCTGGTCTTTTGGAGTCCACAATTTTAAATGCTCATGAAAATGCTGGACAGCTAGCTCGGGGTGCCAGGTGGCTGGCAGCCAACTGGAGTTTGAATGCATAGAACCGTCGCTGGCCCTGATAAGCCCTTGACCCCAACACATGCATTTGAATGGAGCAAGGAATGCTTGACTTGAAACATCTTATTAAGGAGAGAAACATTAGCATGCAGTGAGCTCTCTAAACTATTTTAGAGGCTAAATTTAAACCCAGACTCCCTGTGTTCCCAGCTGCAAGCCAAGATATGTCAGTCCTAACAGAACTCTGTTTGTTGCTATTATGCTTTGGTCACAGTCTACACGTTGTATCTCATTCTGCACTTCTGTGCTGTTTACCTGGAACTGATAAAGGCTGGGCCTCTGCATTGTATCAGGTAAACTCAGTTTTATTTTTCTTTCTGTTTCTTACTGCAGGTCTGGATAAGTTCCGATAGCAGTAATAGCGAAGCAGTAGAGCAGTGGAAAGACACTATTGCCAACCCTGAAAAAGTTGTTGTTAAATGGTACAGCATTGGTCCATCTTGAAGACCAGAGATGAAACTCTGGACAGATTTTTCTACAAAGATTCTCCTACGCTGTTTAAGATAATATAAATAAAAAGAAAACTGTTGTCTACGCAAGTTCTTCATAAGTTCTCCACTGCATCACACCTCCGTGGTAACTGGGAGAATTCAATTTCACCAAGAGAAATACTGGCTAATATTATTAAGAGAAAGACATAGGATCTAGGGAAGGTGCTTATTTGATTTTAGAAAAACCACCTTGAAAAATACATTTTTTGACACTTTCAGGCTCTCTTAAGAGCAGAGAAATTCAGTCTTGGAGAGAAGCATCTTGAATCAGCACCTTTCCTCATCTGCAGCCTTGTCTTCGCAGACTCCAAAGCCCATGGGAAGCCGTCCAGCTGGTGGCTCAATCCCCGATACCTGCAAGCCACTGGGCTTGCGCCCATGTTGACACCATTTAGTCAGAGTAAAGCGTGCCTGAGCAAGTGGAAAAGCTGTGGCAGCAGGAGAAGGCAGAAGGGAACTACACAATAAGGCAGTACCCAAAGGCTTTTCTAATCTCCATTTTTGATGAAGGGTTGTCCCAGTACCCTGACATGCCTACAGCCTGGGGTTTCCCCCATCCTTTGCTCTAAACAGAGAGCTTGAAAGCTAAGAGTTTCTCTCTGAATCACCAGGATCTTTGCAAGTGGGACCCTGCCGCCTTGCTCTGTTTGGGTGAATCAACAACTCTGGTTGGTTGGAATCAATGCAATAATACAAAGAGGCAGTGGCCCAGCCTTGGATCAGGGCCAATGTTTCCAGATAAATTACTTTCTTATATAGAACTCTTGTATGTAAACCACTTCCTATCTAATCAACAATGTTCTAGCATTTACTTACATTGCTAAAAGCCAGACTGACATATATGAAGAAGTAAGCAAATATTTACTGACCTAAGTGCTTTTTGATATTAATTAAAATACAGCACAGCAAGGGAGTCAGACTTTCTTTAAAAGATAGACTACTACTGCACAAGTATTTGTTACATGTCTATGATGCTGAAAAATTGTGTGTGGGAGTATATTTTTATTACTTGTTTCTAGCAAGAAGTTACCATATTTTTATTGCAAGTTATGGTTTTCCTACAAAATCCTAAGATTATTCTTTGTATTAGTCCCCATATTTTCAGGGGTTTATTCAGAGTTATTTTTAAGGTGGGAAAATGCCATGTATATGATGGATAACATATACATCTAAAAGCACAGACCTCTTTGCAGTGCTTTTAACTACTGGATTTAAAATATATATTTGTTCCATTAAATCCAGTGCTTACACATATATTGCTTGCTGTCTGGACTGTACAATTACATCTGTTCATATAGGTGCTAAATAATTTTATCTTTTTTTATAACTTGGATCCCATTCAAACATGTAAGGTGAACTAGAGTGGCAGTGAAAAGCACTCGCTGCTGGAAGGGAAAGGAATAGTGGGGAGCAGAGAAAACACTAACAGGAAAGCGTGTTGTACTTAAGCATACAGATTTGAAGTACCTTTAACTTTTCTGACTTTGAGTAAGGGTCAAGAAAAAATGGAATCTCTTAAATTTTTTTTTTTATCAACTGATAATTGAAGCTTTTAAAACTTCAACCATTTAGATTTTTGTTGTTCAAATATAATATTTTGAAAATGGACAAACAAAAGGATTTTCCCAGGCCCTTAGATGTTCTACTTTTTGACTGGCTTTTAAAAATGAACTGGCAAAGTTTTTTGCATGTTACTCAGAGAACAAATATCAGTTCTTACTGACACTTTTTGCAAAGCTCCCAGTAAGCCCAGAGAATCTTGTCTGGCAGCATTAACTTCCAGCCAGTTACAACCCTTGAGATGAGCCTGGCCTGTTGGGTAGTATGAAAAAAGGAACCGGACCAAGCTGATAATCTTGGTTGATCTTTACTTGAATACATGAATCTCTTTTATTCAAGGTATATCCCAGTGTTTTGGAGGCTTCAGTTACCATGGCAGTGGTTCTACAGAGATTTCCAGTTTGGTGGATAACTGTGTAAAATGGACTTCTGGGGTTGTTTTAGGACACGTGGCTTTTTAAAGGCATGACTAGTAATGACTTCTTTTTCCTATGATAATATTTAATCTATGTGTTTATAATAAAAGTTATGACCAGAAAATATTCCATCTTTTTTTTTTTTCCCCAATTGTTTATACCAATGTTTACCAGCATCGCAAACTGAAGTTCAAGTCCTGCCTTTTTCTCTGAGAAAATGCCAACTACGGAACTGTATTTCATGTAGTGCTGCGTGTAGGGGAGTTGGCTGCTGCCACGCTGCGGAGATACGTGAGGCCTCTGCAAGATGTGCACAGGTCCTGGAGCGCTCTGAAGAACGTGCTCTGAGGCACTGTGTCATCCTGTGCTCATTCCCAGGCTTTGGGGTTTTCTGTATTTGTGTGTGCACTCATGTGAGAATTTAATGAATTCTTAATAGTTGGCTAAAGATGCTGTGCTTTTATGCTACAAATTTGGAGCATTTAAACTGCTTATTGCCCAGATTTGTTCCTCAGTTTGTCCAGAGTACTACAGTGTTCTTGAGGAAACTGACTGTATTTCAGGTTTAGAAAGCAGAAAGTCTCTTATTTGTCTGCCTGCACAAAATTTGGCTCTGCTTGTTACTGGTCTCAGCTGTCTCAATACAGGCTCACTACTGACAGTATGGTAGCGGAGCATTGGCATATCCATCTGTTTGTGCACTCCAGCCTTCTTGTATGTCACGGGGTAGTTAGGGAAACAGGCAATACTCAGCTGCTGTATGATGAGGAAAAGAAACTTGTGTTGTGCTGGTTTGGCTTTTTAATTTTTTTTTTAAACTGGTGTCCTACTTGTGTTGTAATTACTGGCTCCCAAGACTGGGAGGAAACCAGGAATTCTCTTTGCTTTCCAAAAAAAATCATCTAGGGATGGAGAGGGACCTGCCTAGCTGAAGAACCAAAAAGTACCCATTCATCACATTGAAATTTACCTTGCAAGCGGACCAAATATGTGCTTTGAACAACCCATCATCACCCGAATTATTACTCCAGTCCTCATAATAATGTCTGGTTTGGAGCTTCTGAGGATGTCTGCGAGGTAAAGGAGTTTTCCAGTGGATTGCTTGGGGTGGGCTGGAACATGAAACTGTTTGGGAGGATGGGGCCTGCCAGTGAGTTAATTATGTGAACTTATTTGTGTAAGAGGTTGTTGCGGAGGGAAGGGAAATGGCTGGATGGAAAAGTCTTTGTAGATTATTTTCTTTCAAGTACATGTTGAAAAGACACTGGACTGAATATACACTGACTGAGTCTTGAGCAGAATTGTGAAAGATGGAAGATAATATGGGGGGTAGTAGAATCAACAAATTAGACAGACTTACTAGCTGTCACATAAAGCATTTTTCACTGGTGATTCATTGGGCCTAGAGCTGATCAGTACAGTTGTTTTGGTAGACAACAGTCCTGAAGAAAAGACATGAGACAAGGGGGCACATGCATGTTCCTAGGTCCAGTCCCAGGGTACAACTGGCTTTAACATGAGATGTTACTGTAGGTGTCATTTCAACCTGAATGCCACAGAAGGCCAGCTAGAAATCACCTGGGATTTCTTGCCTTTTACGTACAGAATATTTTGCTTTACTGCTTAGTGACAGTCTCACTATAAATATATGAGACTGACTCCTCCAAATTCAGCTCCTGGCTTATTTGAGACTAAGGCAGTTTTCCAGAAAAAAGAAAGATGCATCATTTGAAGACCAATCCACGATCTAAATTAGCAAGGAGCTTTATGCAAGAAGAAGAACAGGTGTCTCAGAGCACTCTTGTGATGGTGACAGCTGTACATTTTCCCTTTAATGCATGTTCAGCCACTATTTTGATTGCTACATCCAAGTTTACTGTCATTGAAAATACTGACAAAAGCTGTTTTGTCGGTTCACTTAATTTGTAGATATAAGACACACATGGTTTACAGCTGGATTTGCTGTTGCTTCTAGTTAGTCACTCAGCTTCCTAACTTAGAACAATTTTGATGAAAACAGCAGAGGCTCAGAAGCTGCACCAGTTTTATTTCGATCAGCTCCAAAATGCATGTAGGTGATCTGGCAGAGCAGTTATGGCCTTGCATTAAATGTTTTTCATACAGAGATCTGTGCCTGCTTAGAAACGAAGCGTAGACTAAACTTATTCAGATTTTCCAGAATGTGTGTATATAATTTCACTGGTAAATCAAACAATTCTGGTTTAAGTTTATTTATTTATGACTAATAGCATTCTGTATGTAAACGAGGCCAACAAATTTATTTTTCAAGTCTTTACATCTCAATGGCATGGTGTGGCCTTCCTTTTAAGGAAAAAAAATGTAAGATTCTACCTCAAAAGACAAGTGGGTGTAACAGTTTGTAAACCACATTATCGTAAAACATAACTTGGAAAATAATTGTAGTTTCATATCTGATCTTTTGTGATGACAACATAAATAGTGCCATATTGCTAAATCCATTAGACATCCTTGGTTAGTTCTTCTGTTGGCAGGATATCTGTATAAAACAAAAGGTAATTTTTGTAAGCATTCAGTTAAGCACATATGCTGCCTAACTTGAAAACTGTCTGCCTGACAGAGGTTGCTTTTTGAGTTATGAGTTGATTTTGCAGCCAAAGCATAATGTGTCTAGAAATTGGGGGGCAGGGTTGTCCCACTTCTTATTTTCATCCTACCAGCATATGTATGACATGGGAGGGAGGCTGCATAGTTGTGGAGAGCTTGGCATAAATCATGCTGGACGTGGTATACTCTCCTTGTTTTTCCAGCTTCTGCTGTAAAATTACATCACCATGTAAATACAGCCCTGTACATGATCTCATGCCTGGTGAAAAAGCCATCACTAAAATCAGCGCTGTGTTGCCCCAGCACTGCTCCAGCAGATTGACATTTTCTCTAGCTTGTCCTGAGGGACAGGCCATCGTCCCTCACAATCCATGGCAAAATTCCCATTGCGTTCAGCAGAAGCAACCAGGCTTCAAAACTGTTTTAGTTATTTCAGCATTGTGATGGTGTGATTCATCTAACAACAGGTTACACACAGCTTA